CTGCATCATGGCAAGCAGAATTTCTTGGGTGCGGTCACTTCTTGGTTCAGGTGCTCTGCTCGCTGTGGCCATCACCGATGATGGCAGTCCACAAGTATCTACAAGCCTGTCTGCCATCTCGCCAATGGCTTGTAGCCCAATGTTTTTCGATACAAGCAGTAGAGGCCGGATGTGTTGTGGGAGTCTGTCCAACCAAAGTTTATGGATGATATCCTCCGAGATTTCACTCCGAGCCAGGTCAATCATTTCCCGTAGTAGCTGGGATGGCTTTTTGTCACCTAGGACAACGTTTGTTAACAATTTGTCTACTGCTTTGACCTCGACTCGGATACTCGGTCTAGGATTATGCTCTTCAACGTGTTGTATTTATTTTCGGTTGGCGGATTTCGCAACACATCGCTTACCAGGTGTAAAGTAGACCTGTCCAGAGCACGCAATACCGCCGTGTACTTCGCATGGTCGGATTTGATCCTATCTCCAAGAAACTCTGTCTCAATCAACAGGAACCATAGATCAGGAGCATCTTCCATGAACGGGGTTATTGTATGCCTGCCCACGTTGTAAATTTGTTCCGTTTTTAAATCATTGTTCACTTGGTTGGAGTTGCTCGCACATGGCGTGCGAACTTGAGTTTCGTCAAAATCGATGAGCGATCGATTTAGATCTTGTGAGGCTTCAGTGTTTGCGGGTGAAGACATTATTAATGATATAGTATACCTCGCTTGTAGTATCAAGATCAGAATTCAGCCACGTGTTTTCTCAGTCGCGGTCACCAATTATATAGATGTTGGGTCTATATATAATTTATATTTATAATTAAAAGAACTGAATAACGTGTATATAAGTTTAATTTATAATAACAAAACAAGTATAAAGCATCTCATAAAGATATAAGTGATTTAGGTTAGGTTTTATTTCACTCTTCCAAGCTTGATGCACAAGAGAATGAGATTGCATTTTTGCATCCCTCGAGCCCACGCAAGTGTTGCACGATGCGCCGTCGCCAACTTGACAGTTTGCGACGTTCTTCACACGCAACGTGTCTATGAAGTTGGTATTGGCGTTTCTGGTTGTTACTCTCGCCGCTAGGTGTAGGGAGACGCCATATCAGTATTAGCTAAATGATTCTACCGAGTTTTGAATTTTTGTATGAACTGAA